GATAGGAGCCTGACTAATTGAGGGAAAGTGACGGAGGGAGAAAGCGCATCAAATACATAGATACATTCAATCGGCTGACTGGTAACAGAGGTAACGTCACATTTCGAAAAACCAGAGACAGAAGTGGAGAAAATGCCTTGATCGCCATTTTTTGTTGCTTTGGAACTGACAAGCCACCTAGCAAGCTAGCAGTAGCTATAGATAAATAAATTATGCTGAAGAATTCAGCAGCCAAAAAAAAAAAGGAAAAAGTTTCTAATGTTCGGTTGGTCGAGAAAAAAAATGATTATACAGGTCAGTGATTGAAAATACGTTTTAAATCACGTTACAGTAAATAAATACATACTGCTTAAAAACAGGAAAAGACAATACGAAACAAGAGATAAACAGCAAAAGAAATGCTTTCTTTATATGAAACTTATACAATCCTTTCATTGTTACCAATGTGTGTAATAAGGCAATATTTTGGGGACATCTAGAATGCATAAAATAGACAAAAATGCACGAATAAAAAACAGCGTTCTTTGAACCGACTATGGGGAGTTTAACTGTTGTCGTGCTTTTCTACTTTACGATCACAGTCTGCCCAGTCGGTTGGGTTTATGGGCACACAAAGTGTTTCCTGATCGTGAACTCACTCCCGGACGCTGATGGGACGACTGCTCGTGACTACTGTAATGGTCTGGATGCAGTTACCATGGGCAACGGGGAAATGGTTGAGCCTTCCCTGCTCTTCATAGAGAATGTGGAAGAATACGATTTGCTGAAGCCTCACCTGAATAGACCCGGGAGCTGGATAAACTGCAAATATGTCAATACATGGAAGTGTTACACAGACAGAGCAGGGACCAAAAGTGACTACCGAAGTAAGTTGTTGCTTTTTTGATTGCTCGTTTTTACCTGACTGCTAAGAAATAATTTATATGTATATGTAAACGAGGAGGCGCGATGGTTCAATATTACAGCAGTGGTCTCGTAACCGAGAGGTGCCGGTTTAGAACCAAGTTGAAGCAATAGTGCTCCATATGTGAAGGCAATAATATAGATATAATGACTGCTATGAGAGGGATAGTTGTTTTTAAAAGCTCAAGGGGACGTTACATCCTATTATATACCTGATACATAGATTGTCATTCACTGATTGGTCAAGACTATATCACATGACAAGGAGCATTTCGATTTATCATTGCGTCGTTCTATCAAACCCTGTGATAGACTCCAAAACCCTGTGATAGAACTGCTAACCCATGCGCAACTTTTTCACACACACACAGCGTACAAGATTCCCCCAGCGCGCAAATCACGCGTTGTTAGGGCGCTCTAGCTCAAAATGGTTTCTTCATGTCAACGCAGCTAAAACCAAAGTTGTTGTTTTTTCTCGTAGTAAAGTTCGAAAATTTCACATCGACCTAGATGATGATATTGTAGAAGTATTGATGAATACGTCTATTTTCGAACGGATTAGGAATATACAACAAATATGGACTGCTCTGTAATCGAATGGTGGAGGAAATTATCACTTCCTCGGTGGTGTTCATACCGGCCACTCTATCACCCCCTCGGCTTCGCCTCGGGGGTGATAGAAGGGCAGCACCTTGGGAGTGATAATTCCCACCATCATCCTCATGAGCAGTCAATATTTGTATACTATCACCCCGAGAGCCTATACAAACAAATATGCCTCGAATCTTAAAACATTGTTTATATCTTATATTTACCGAATTCACAAAAAATCTACAAAGAATTTTTACCTTTAATATCCCTTTCTGAAGTAAAGACTGGTTAAAACATCACTTAAATAAGCAGCCAGTGAACTGGCGATTTCAAGTTCCCACTAAAGGATTTTGTAATAAGGATAAATGCCTTACCACAGGACAACAACAGCAAACAACAACATTGACTTGGTTTTGAACCTATGATTTCCGGGTTACGAGACCACTGGGCTATGCAGAAAGAGCACGTTGAGTTCTGGTAAAGATGAAGAATATTTTTCTTCACATTTGTTTTCTTTTAAATGACCTTTTTGGAGGTAATTATAGGAGTGTCCCCTGAAAAGGATTGCCATCTTGAAGCTCTCATATAAAAAATATAGAGATAGCATAAAAGATTTGGATCAAAATGTGTATGTAGTTCGATACATTCATTTTCTTTGTCTAGTTAAATTACACTTTTTTAGATTGTCAGCTATATAGTTTTCGATATTTAAAACGAATGGAAAACACAATCATATTGCCCATTATGTGCAAGGGACATATTCTGATAATAAATAAGCTGATGTCAGCTCAATGTGGGATGATATCGATGTGATTACCACGAATGGCTAATGATGATAGAATAATAATAATAATAATAATAATACTACTACTACTACTACTACTACTACTACTAATAATAATAATAATAATAATAACAATAATAGTATTAATGATAGTAATAACATGAATAATGCTAACAATGATACAAATAGTAATAATGATAATGACGATAATAATAATAAACATGATAACAATGATAATAATAATATTGAAGACGATGATGAATGATTATGATGAAATTGATGATGTGGAAGATGATGATAACAATTATGATGATCTCTGTTTACAGAATAAATATTGTCACCCGGTCAATAGATTCAGATTTGCCCACAAACAAAGTATTCACTTTCCCACTCCCCGGGGAACATTTCACGGAGGTGCCATTTTACATACGATTACAATGCTAAGCATATAGAATGACTACTGTATCCTACTGGGTAGCAACACCTTATTGTATGCTTTCTTATAGATTGGGCACCAAATCAACCAAGGACCAGTAATAAAAATAAGTGTGCGGTGCTGTTGAAGGCCACAGGTTTAATGAACAACCGCGTTTGTACGAATAAGTTTCAACCTAACACTGTTTGTCAGGTCAACCTATAAGGGAAATACCGGTACACCAACATTCGTAGAAATCGTAGAAATCGTAGAAATCAGAATATCGTAGAAATCTGAATTCTACGATAAAAGCTTTTCTGCAAATCTTCAACCCCCTCCTTCTATTAGCTACAGAGAAAAGGAAACTGAACATAAATAAAAAGAAGGGAAGAAAGTAGAAATACGATGACTCTACCCCTTTATAGACCCTCCCATTTATTGATGGTCTTGTTTGTTCGCATTCTATTCACAGAATGACACCACCCCCCCCCTCACCCACTTATAGGTTCCCTGTGCCTCCTCGTTCTCTACTAACCCGTCTCTGCTAATGTAAATGTCAAACAATCTAGCTGTGCCGTCGTCAAGCTAAATTGCTTAATTTGCTCTCAACCAATCAAACTTGTAACAGTCATTGTAATATGTTATTGATTAAAAAAATCTTGGAAAAGGGCCTCGACAAAATCAACTCATTGTTAATTACAATAATCTATAATATTACGTTCCATATAAATCATGTTGTGATTACGAAATACGCCATTGTCATGTTCAAACATTTTAAAAGGTGACGTAATAAGCCATTAGAATTGATTTAGGTAGTTGCGAATGTGTCAATAATATTGTTATTATTTCTTGGGGAGGGGGGGGGGGGGGGAATGGCTCACAGCCCGAATTAAGAAGTTCTTTGTTAATTACTTTCAGTTAAGTTGATTCAAGAGAGTCATATTACAAGGGTTGTTCGTTATCCAAAAGTTTCGTAATTCAGATTTCAGAATTCCTAGCATAAATATTCTTATGCCAAGGCGTTCTATATAATAAAGACAATTAAAGGCAGTGTATTTTAGCGACTTTTCATTGGTATACCACTGTTGTAATGTATGGTGAGGGCGTACATAGATCGATTTCTGGTCCCTGTTCCCAATTATAATCACATCACGCGGCTCCTGGGTATGCATACATCTGTGTTGCATTGTGGAACATGACTGTCGACACGTTGGAATACCTTTAAGCAGCAGACGGCAGTGAAGTACCCTGCCTTTAAATGAGATTTGTTGTTTCTAACATTATGGTACGTGAATGCTAAGATGCATGAATAGGCACATCTTATAATTGAATACATTGTACCTTTTCTCAGTCGTTTGAAGTTTTTCTTTTAAAGGATATACGCGTATTGTTTTCTTAAATTCTCTCCTAATATTAGCACAATACTTGTTATGTTTGATATGCACTAATCATAACTCATTATGTACATACCGCTTTGTTGTCTCGTAGATATTATGTACTATGTACTATAACTTTGTGAGAATTCATGCATATGAAACAGGCAAGCAAACAGAGTTATTAAAAGACTTCAAGTGATTTCTTTGGTTATAGTATCATGTACATATTTATTTTAATTTTCATTATTAAAACAATTGTACTGCCTGAATGTACAATATATAACATGTCTGCTATATAGGGATTATGAATCATACTTGTTGTTGGTTATTAATTATTTTCATGTATCAGGCACGATCGTTCATTTCTATGCTGTCCTATCTCTGTTTCCCTTTTGTCCTAATCGGATAGGTACTTTAGTTGTACTTTATGTGCGTGAGTGTATGTGAGTGATATGCGCTATATACAAGTAACGTTCATTATTATTATTGTTATATTATATTGTAGACGCATCTATTCCTACTCACTACTTCTTTGTCTCAATCCTCTTATTTCACTTTCCTCCTCACCCCATCTACTCTCATCACTTTCTACTCCTATTTATTCTGGCTCTTGCTAATGAATATCGACATGTCATTAATGTAGGAAATTGGATTTATACGTGTTTTTTCTTATGCAAATGACTTTGTCAAATTTGCATAAAACTGTTGTTAAAAATACGGTGAATGAAATGTAGTTCCTCGATTTATAAGTTTGTTTTGTTATCTTAAGGAAGATTTTTTATATTGTGAGTTTATGTAAAAAAGGAATAAGATTGCATATAATGTGTAATAACTAATTTTTACTTCATTCAAAAGGTGTCTGTACAAGAATAGCAAAAAGAGGAAGGATATTTTGTTTATAGAATTGTGAAAGGTCTTTAAATGTGGGCGCAGGAATCTGCCTGACATAGCAGATACGTAGGTACACATTGTATCTTGTCATGGGCGAAGGAGGTTATGCGTGTGTCGGGCCGTCTATTTAGCGTGCAGCGCCCTTGTTTCTTTTTACACCTTTGAAAGAAGTAAGTTGTTTTCTTTAAATGTCAGTTGATAGTAAAGATTGAACACTTTGATACATGTCTATGAAATGTTTTTATGTTCTTCAGGAGAGGAAAATAAGGATTATTTTGGAAGAGGAATGTATTTGATTTTGTACTTGACAACTTCCGTTAGTCCGAATAGTGTGTCTTCATAGGGATATGGAATCCAGTTAATCAAATTACATTGATCGTTTAAATAAATGTTATTACATTTATTCTATATGATGTTTAGAGAAATTGTCATTTAAATGGTTAGTGGTTAACGCCTACCTGTATTTAGTGCGTGAATTAGTGATTGTAATGATTTCGCCGTTGAGGGCGAATGATGTTAATATTGTGATAAAGATGGCGGCGCCCATTGAATCTTTGTATGATAATTTAATTGGTGGGTTATTTTATTTAATATGTTATTAGTATACTATGAGGATGTTTTAGTGATTTGTTATAGATGACATGCTAGCGAGGTTTGCTGGAAGCTGTCATGGTGTGGTCTAGCTGGGACTGTGTTGTCTTTTGGGAGCCGGGAGCTGCTCCGGCTTGTATCTTCAGAGACCTTGGGTAGGAATTATAATGCGTTATGATTTAATACATACATTGTTTAATTGGTGTAATGTTGTTTATTAATGCATTTTGAATATGCACTTTCATATAATATGTGTTAATTAAAGACAATGATATTGTCTTAATTATTATATTATCCTTGATGTAGACTACGTTAATGCCACAGTTTATGTAATACTGTACACCAACAGTGTGATAATTATTACTGTCTGTTCGCCCACATTGTTGTATACTATCAGTTATATGTTGTTAAGAATCTATACTTGTCTTGTACTTGTGATTGATTTGCAGGGTTTTCTTTTACCGCTGATATATGCTGATGATCTACAAATAAATGGGCTCATCACCCAACCTACCATCAAGCTGCTCTCAAGTTCTTTATTGCTGTCTTATCCGTATTACGACATTAAAATCATGATTAAAACGGTACCTGTTATCATCGTATAAAGCCTAACAAAATTATTTTTACTTATAAAATATACCCAAGCTGATATTAATTATAATTAACTTCATAGTAACTAATCGTATGAACTAACATTTTTTTATTAGGTTTTCCTTTTTACTTCTTTTTTTGGACCACTTATTTCTTCCTTCCTTACTTTTTTTTCCTTACTTGAGTAGTCCATATAAATATATGTTATGTTTTTTAGTATATTTTCTCATTTCCATTTAAAGCTCATTTCTACTAGTTTACAGGAGAGATTAGACCACCCTGCAAGGTCACTGGACAGATGATTAACTCATCAATTCAGCTCTCAATTAACATAATTAAGAGAGGATCATGGGGATCAATGGTCACCGATTAGGCATTGTTTACTATATAGAGGGCGCAATTAGCTATATCTAGTGCAGTGGGGCTTTAACCTCAACTTCCTTCATGATACGCTAACATAATTTGTATCCTTAAAATAATTTGATTACTTGTCGACATTTAAGATTGTATATAATTACAAGTAAGTTTAATTTTCTTTGCCTTGTTGCAAATGTCATTTGATAATCATTTTTTTTGAAGCATTTTTTCCTTGTTCTGATTGAGTTATAGAAATGAAATCATTTAAATCGAAATTAATTGTATTGAATATAATTCCTTTGTGTGTGGTACGATTTGTATTGTATACCGTGTGAACACGTACACGTTACACGTTATACTTCTACTTTCTCCTCAATTTCTCCTTTAATTGAGGAAGCGCAGTGTTCTCGTAATCGGGAAGTCCCGGGTTCTATTGCAATGTATTAGTTTCCTTACCTAGTCCCTCGGAGGGGATTTAAAGTCGTCGGTTCCCTGTTTGCTTACTTACTTACTCAGTGTTATAGTGCTCTTGTTCCCAGTGATATGAACCAGAGCACTATAACACTGAGTTAACATAGGATATCTCAGCCAACACTTAATATATTCAATTGGTTTTCGACATCCGGACATTATTTTTTATGCTCTTTTGGAAAGTGAAGACAAAATTGAGAAATTTTAAAAATTGATTTGTATGATGTCACAGCTCCTATACTCTATACAGACTTTGTTTTTGTTATTTTACAATGCCATTGATTACATCAATTTGTTTTCTCTTCTTCTACTGCCTCTTCTTCTTCCACTCATTTTTTGTCTTCCTCTTCTTCTTCTTTCTTCCCTTCTTCACCTTCTCCTTCTTATCATTATCATATTATTTTCTTTACTCTTCATTCTATTTTTTCTTTTCTTCTCAAATTCACTCTCCTTGTACGTCTCTAGAATCTTTGCTATACTACTTCGTTTTTGCCTCCTATAATACCTTTTAAATTCAGACCTACTATAGGCAGTATAAAGGGATAGTTGAGTTCTATTTTCAGACCGCATATGCCTTCAAAGTGCATGGTTATTGCTCCTTTTCTTATCTATGACATTTCTAGTGCCCTTTTAGAACCTAACATTGCTATAAAGGTAATGTTAGACGCTAACATGTGTGAAATTTAGCTAATACGATCATATCATTTCAGCTCCACTTTTCAAAATAATTTGATGACTGTTAGTTAATTATGTAATTACAAATAACAATACATGGGCCGGCTCGTTGTGCGTAATAAAACCAACACGAAAATGCCAACAAAAAAGCCAACATCGGCATTAAATGAAATACGACGGAAAAGGCGGTATTTCGTTTTTTCAACGGCTTTTTCAAATTATCAAATACTTTTGATGGTACACAAGTATTAGAAATCGTTATATTTATGGATACTTCAGCCGTCTCCGAACCGATTTTGATCTAACAAAGATGATTTTGTCATTTAAATTATATGTTCTTTCAAATTTCACACTCAGTTTTTTATTATCTTACAAACAAATTATGTTGTGTAGCGCCCTCTGCATCAGAACTCAACTATCCCTTTAATAAAAGGAATCATTTTCCCCCTCTCTTAAAAAAGGTCATTAAAATAAAACAAGAAAGAAAGTGAAAAAAAAACAGTCATAGACGACTTAGTAAAATACAACAGGCAAATTCTTTGGAGATAACGCACAATTCATATAAAACCCTTAACTGCAAGGCAGTGAGACATTGGGAAAATCAATCTGCTATCTAATATTGCAATCTAAATTTTTTTTGTTTTGATTGTTTGATTGATTTTATTTCTGCGTTCAAATAACAAATGCAAGGTTATTCATCTTTACATAAGTATTACATACATAGCAAATCATGTATAATAATATTTTACAATGACCATAATACAAAGCATACAGACAAGTATAACGGATATGTGAATATTTTTTTTTATTGAACTAAAGAAATACATTTCAGAACACAGGAGACCGCAATCGTAAGCGGTTAGGCTGGAAATGGATGGCGGCCTCGTGAAAAAGAAGGACTAAAAGATTTAGCAACAGAACTCTTTTGGTAAAAACCATTGACCTACCACAAATGGACACTGAACGGTACCATGATATTTTCATGCACCTTACTCTGTCAAAAGTATCATAATGACATTCCAAACATGCTTCCAAGCTTTGATCCCATTACGACCGCCGCCAGTCAGCCCCCCAAAAACAGAACTGTGCCTTACACAATCAACAAAATGCCTGCGCAAAAGAAACTGAATATCTTCAAATCACGGAAATGCATCTGCAATTGTGGCGTACATATGCATATTGACGTATATGAAGTTTCCAATAGGAAATTAGAAGTAGTTTACTGTATTTTTGGCTGAAACACAATAATTTCAACTTCATTTTAAAACATATCCTATCAATTTCCAAGGTATAGAATAGGACGGTGAAGATTGTATTTTTGCAAAGTGTGGCTAGAAAACGAAAACGATACTCAGAATTATTATTTATAAGGTGTGGGGTGCCACAAGGGTCAATCCTCGGCTTTTTGTTATTTTTGATATATATAAATTATATTTATAATTTATCAAATGCACTATAGTATATTTTATTTGCTGATGACACCCATGCATTTTGTTCCAATTCAGATATTCAGATCCTTTTAAGAAATATTTACGCTGAATTACCAAAATTATCAAAATGGTTTACAAGTAATAAACTGTCCCTTAATTTAAAGAAATCAAAAATATATACTTTCAGAACAGGAAAAATAACGATATTCCTGACATTGAAATTACTTTGGATGGTGAATTATTGGAAAAAAGGGATAGCATGACATTCCTTGGTGTTCTAATCAATACAAATCTGAGGCGGAATAATCATGTGCGATATATTTATAATCCTTTTTCACGTAATATTGGTATTTTCTGTAAATTGAAATATTATGTCCCTTCAAATATCTTGTTTATGTTATATAATTCATTAAATGGATAGTTGAGTTCTGTTGCAGAGGGCGCTACACAAAATATTTTTTGTGAGATAATAATAAATAAGTGTCAAATTTGAAAGAACGTACAATTTAAACGACAAACTCATCTTGTTTGATCAAAATCGGTTCAGAGACGCCTGAAATATCCATAAATATAACTATTCCTAATACTTGTGTACCACCACAAATATTAGATAATTAAAAAAAAGCCGTTGAAAAAACGAATTAGCGCATTTTCCGTCATAATTATTTCAGCTAATGCCGATGTTGTTTTTTGTTGTTGGTATTTTCGTGCTGGTTATATTACGCACAACCAACCGGCACATGTATTGTTATTTTTAATTAAATCATTAATAAACGGTCACCGTGTTTTTTTTAATTGAAGCTGAATTGGTACGATCGTATTGGCTAAATTTCACACATTTTGGGGTCTAAAATTATCTTCATAGCAATTTTAAGTTCTAAAAGGGCACTAGAAATGTCATAGATAAGAACTAGAGCAATAACCATGCACTTTGAAGGCATTTGCGGTCAGAAAACAGAACTCAACTATCCCTTTAATATTCCCTTATATTTCATATTGTAACATTATATTGGTAAATTAAAAAAGCAACGTTGACGCCAATTTACTGTTACAAAAGAAAGTTATGCGTTTATGTACAGATTCTTCCTATCACGACCACGCCAATCCCTTGCTTTCAAAACTAAAAAACTCTAAAATCCCTATAAATATTCTACAAATAGCACTTCATGTTTCGCTTACAAACTGGTCTACTCCCTTCATACTCCCCCCCCCACCCCCATTGTTTAATTTTTAAAAAAATCCACTCTTAGAATGGGAAACAACAAGAGTACCGTATTAGCTAGTCGCTGAGTGCGAGCACGAAGATGTCTTAAAACGCAGATCATCCAAACGCCTTGCAACTACGTTTATGTTAGCTTCAACATCTTTATTAGAAATGAGACGGAGAAGGGATGACAAAGAAGGTACAGCAAAACTTTAAAGTTTGCCAGTTTAACAATTGCAGTCGATTTTGGTAAGACATTTGTTGTCGTTGTTTTTAGAATAAGACGGGTATGGGAGAGTGGAGGATAGCGTGGGATAGTGGAGGTTCATGAGCACTTGTCAGGATTGGCTGAGTAAGATCTGCAATAAGAGGAGGGTTGAGTACATTGACCCTTTTCTTGACCCTTCGTGGAACGCTATAGATACAACTATACCAGCTGATAGACAACTTCTCCTCCAATCAATTTATCCATAAATCATTATCATTATCATGCCAAATCAAACAAAACAATTACTCTTGTGCTATTTATTTTAAATACAATTTGCAAGAATTAGAAGCCTACAATATAACTGTCTTGATGATAGTTCCTTCAGCGATAAAGCCCCCATTATAACAAACTAGTTCTCACTACGTTTTGGGACCGTCCCAGAAACTCGTAAAACGGAATTTGGTCGGAGCAGAATTTGTTAAAAGTGTCTAAAATACGACCCTAGTTCGTTCATAAACAGTCCCCAATACGTCCATCTCGTCTGTACGTACCCATCCACAATCAGGTCATATCATGTTCTCCCCCCTTTGGATTTTTTTTTTTTTTTTTTTTTTTTTTTTTAAT